AATTAAATTAAATTAATATAGACTCGAAAATGTATATCAATCTTAGAGTTATACCAGGTCAGTTTATAAAAATTTAATTTTTACGGATTTTTTGCTGTTTTAGATGATATTTGGCTATAAAATATAACTGTTTGGCAAATAGTTCCAAGTTTATTCTCATAGTATAAAGACTTAGTTGCAGTTTTTTGCCTGCCATATATACATATATGCTAAGCTAGTCTAGCCTAGCTTAGTTTAGTCTTGTCTGGTCTAATCCTGTCTAGTCTTGTCTATTGTCTTGGCGAAATATCTCATAGTTGCTGCCCACTTTATATATTTTTATATGTATTTTGTCTGCCTAATCTTATATCAGCTGCGGTGACGTAGACTCAATTGAAGAAGAACCTACGAACCCATGTATTATTTAGATAGTACTTTCTTATTATACATACTTATTTAGCATGTATATGTTTGCCAAAGCTATTGTTGCTGTTTCCCTTCTCCTTTCCCTTTCTCTGAATAGAGCATAAATTTCATATTCAAATATCTCTTTGCAGCTCATCGGACTTTGATGATTCACACACATAATATACACATATATGTATATATATGCATATAGATTATCGTCTATCATTTACTACATCGAAAACACCTCGATTTGTGATGTGAATGAAATTTTTCAATATTTATTTATGAAAGCGCTTTAAAAGCGTTTAGCAAGGTGTAATGAAAAGGCTTCACACATACACACACACACACACACACACACACACACCTGGGCCTAATTTCGTACACTCTCTGCTAATCAAGCGTTTATAAAGTGTATTAAACACATCTTTGTGTGAGTGTGTGTGTGAATATGTTATATATGGCACATAAATTGTTTACATGTTATCGCTTATCGCCTGCCACTTATCGGTTATCGCTCTGCTTCCTCAACCTCTTTCGAATCATTGCCCAATTTCAATGAATATCATGATGAAAAATGAAAGTGGCGTTAATTTCAATCAGATATACATATATATACTTGTAAATATATATATATAAATGTGTTATTTATTAAACCTATCATTTGGTTGCTATTAGTTGCTCCCATTGTTGTTGTTGTTGTTGCTTTCAGCGGCTCGCATTTGAAATGCCGTTAATAGTTGTTATTGCTTTTTGCCAGTTGGCTGCTGAAAGCGCTCAGCAAGCAAATGCCGCCTAATCAATTTATCGCATCCACGCCACGCCCCCTTCCTGCCTCAATCGCCACGCGATGCGCAGTGGATTGCATTTGAAAGCGCTGTTAACCTCCCCTCGCGTTCTCTCCCTCTCCCTCTCAGCAGCAGCAGCAGCCAGTTGCAGTTTTAATTAAGTGTTTAATTAATGATGATGATGATGATGATGATGATGGTGCTGGGCATCGATGGCAATGTCGTTTGACCACGTGATGTGGGCACCCTGGACAGCCGACAAATGCCAATGAGTTTTGCATATGTGAGTGCAATGGGATTAACAGATGAGATCAGGCTGACCGCAGCTGCACTCTCTCTCTCTCTCTCTCTCCCCCTCTGTCATCCCCTCCCTCTCTCTCTCTCTCTCTTTCTATCTGTCTGTCTGCATGCGTTGATTGACTCACATCCACTAAAACGCTCTTTAAATTTAAATCACAAATTGTGATTAGATTGCGAAATTGTCGCTGATTCGAGTAAATTCTGCGGGCATTTCAAAGTTTTTTTTCTCCCTTTACTTTTTTTTTATAAATATTTTGAATTAATGCGTTATTATTACAGTGTGATTAAATTTAATATTCGAGCTCGAAACTCGTGTTTATTGTAATGCAAATTTGTGCTCGAGTGAAAAGTAGATTTCTTGTTTTCGCACTCTCGTTAGCTTTTCCCTTGGCCCGCTGGAAATTTCGTTTCTTTGCTTGCTCTCTTTTATTTTGTGTTTTCTTTTTTTCTGTTTTTGGCTGATTAGCGCACCTTTTGCCGCTCATTGCGCTGTCCCCTTTCACCTGATTGGCGCTGTATGCTTGCCTGCTATCTGCTCGTCAACCTTGCCACACATTTTCGTCTTAATTTTCAGCTGCATTAAAAACAAATGCAATTTTCACTTTTCATACCTATAAACATACATACATACATATATACACGACTTACAAACGCCCATGGCTCAGTGGCTGTCAGACTGACTGACTGACTGACTTGTAGTCAGATGAGTGTGTGTGTGTGTATGTGTATGTGTGTGTGCAAGTGTGTAAGTGTGCGTTGTTTGCTTGCTTGTTTGTTTGCCTGTTTGTCTGTTTTTCGGCGCTGTTTGCTTTCTGTGCGCACGCTCCGCTTGCAAACATTGCGCATACGCCGCGTTGGCAAAAGTAAAATCAAAAGTCGCCATCTGCTGCGTGTGTGTCTGTGTGTGTGTGTGTGTGTGTGTGTGTGTGTGTGCGTGTAAAAATTGTGAAAAGCGTATCTGGAGCAGAAAATGTAATGTGTCTGCGGCCCGCCGGCAAGCCAAACTGTGCTTCTTATCCACTGCCTCTGCCGCTGCCGCAGCTTCTGCCGCTGCCGCAGCCACTGCTTTTATCTCTGCTTTACTTATTTATGTGCATAAAGCTCCATTTAAATTATATTTCTTTACTTTTCGCTTACGTTTTTAGTGCGATTAATTAATCTGCGCACAGCGCTCACGTGAAGACTTCAAAAGAGATTGATAGACAGAGAGGGATTGTGTATGTGAAAGAGAGAGGGAGAGAAGGAGAGCGAGCTAGTCCAATACGATTTCGGCTCAAAGCTAAGAGTGATAAGACTTCAGGCAGCGATACTCGAATGGCTGCCGTGCCTTACGCTATGCAAATAGATAAGAATTTTGGTTGTTACTTTCTTATCAGCCAAGGTCGAGCAGAGCATCAAACGCGATTTATGCACGGGCTGAATCCGAATCAAGGCTAGTTAATAGTTCTTCCAAAGGCGTCACATTAGATAAATATAATAAAACCATAAATTGTGATATAATCAATATTATCAGTTTATCATTGGCAAGCCCATTTGCCTGGAGTTTCAGTCTAACATATGATATTTTGATTACCCTATAAAAAACAATTAGTCAAAAATGTTTCAAATCATTTGTTAAGTTAATTTTCTATAGTTTGTTGTTTATTTACTTTTTGCTGAAGACCATCAAATGTCGAGCGGTGTGCGATAAGATCGTCATAAATTTGGGCGCATAAACATATGTCCTCACGGAAAATAACCAAAACGATAAGCTAGATAAACTTGTGCACGTAGATTGTACTGCACTATTGTTGGCCCGAAAATCTAACTGAAACTAAGTGGATTTCTATTCATTCACGAAAAATGTAATGCGTATCTTATCTTTGAATCTATAAATGGTTTATTTTTGTTTTTAATCAATTGATTTATTGACTGACTAAATTCGCTGTTGGATTAAAAATGGACTTGCTTATTTGCGGATAAGCAAATACGAATTGTTAAAATTTATATACCCTAGCCCTACTGAAAATAGGAAATCAAGATGGGTTTGGTATGTGTATAACAGAAATAAGGGCAGAATGAGGCTTGACATTAAGTTACGACGAGCTGAGTCGATTTGGAATAATCCATTCCTCTAATCTTGTTTGAACGCGACGATCTCAGAAACTACAAGAGCTAGAAACTTGAAATTTTGGCTGTATATCCCTGCATAGGCTGTGCAGTTTGAATTTGTTTTTAAATATCGATAACTATTCCAGTTTTTGGGTTATCGATTAAAAACTATATCAAATATCAGTTAGAGCTAGACTTTTCAAAAAATTTAAATATAAAATTAATTTAAAAGTTTAAATTGCATAAAATAATCGCATAATGATTGAAATATTAGTTCTTCGAAGGTATGAAATGCACAGAATACATGCAGGATGATGCAAAAATATATGCATATGTATAAGAAATTTCAAATATAACGGATAAGATCAATTTACTCTGTCGGTTAGCGGGTGGGTGCAGAGATTTCGAATATGATTTGGCTCTGCACATATGACTAATAATGTTTTCTTTTGTTTTTTGTCTTACAGGTCGACTCTTATATGTGAAGTTGCATGCACAGAGAACTGGAATAATAAACAGAGGCAAGACAACGAGCCAACCAGTTGCAGACGTGGCTAATTGCGAGTAAGTCGTCAAATGTAATTTCTTTATAAAAGTAGATTATAAATGCATATAGATGTGTAATACATGTATATACTATACGTATATATGTATATGTATAGTATATTTAAAGATAGACATCAACTGTGGGGTGTCTTGGTTTTGTTTTTGTGCTTGTTGTTGTTGTTGTTGTTGTAGAAATGGGCAAGGCCGGTTGGCGCGTCAAGCTGCTGCTGCTGGTGCTGCTGCTGTTGCTGCTGCTGCTGTCGCTGCCGGGTGGGGGCCAGCAGGCGTCGTGAAAATTTTGCCTGCGCCAACACTTCATGTAAATCGCATAACACGACAGCCAAGGCGATGGCGATGGCGATGGCGACAGCTTGCTTGACTAGCTCAAAGTCCAACAGCAACAGCAACTAGAAATGTACAGCAATAACAACCACTGCAGCGACAACGACAACGACAACGACAACTACAACAGCAACGGCAACGGCGAGTCGTCTAACTTGTCAGATCGCGTGCCAAGAAATAATAATGAAGAAAAATCGTGTTACTTAGGCCTGGGCCGAAGGCAGCAACAGCAGCTTCAGCACTTTATGCCTAATAATAATACAACAGCAGCAATGAACAACAATTGCAGCGACAGCAGCAGCAACAATAACAACTACAACAACCATCTCCTTTAACTTCTATGCAGCCCCCTGTGGCCCTGCCTTGCTTTGTTTGTGTTTCTGTTTTGGCTTTTTGTGTCATGCGCCTGCGTGCCGTCTGATTAGCGTGCATCGAGATATGCTCCTCATGCCACAGCCTTGCCCCGCCCCGCCCTGCCGTGCCCTGCCATAGACTGCATTTACCTCAAATTACAGCGCTGCTTGACAATAGACGATTTGCAGCACATCCGTTCGCCATGCCAATGAAGCGTCTAATGTGGCAAGTTAATTCACAACTCGAATCATTGCCAAGAAATTCTCAATGCCTGACGCACTTTGAAGGAGTTAAACTTCGGTCTATTGTTTTGCATATCGCTTAGCTTTGTCAATAGACGACGCTTTGCTGGCCAAGATCAAATTTGATTACAGTTTAGACTGCTTTGAATGTGGAATAGCAGCTAAGACTTGAGGGAATATTCAGGTTCGTTTACTTACTGAAGGAATATGTTGAATGTCGAATCGTCCATCGCTTCGACTGTCTGTCGAGCCAATCTAAAGAAATTTAAAGTTTGAACATAGATACGCTCGTCTGGAGTAGCATTAAAATGTTTTACAATACGCCTAATTAGGGCGTGGTATATTTAAGAAATACCTAAAGAGCTCAGATTTATAATATGAATTGGGTTGAAAACCAAAACTCAAAAATATAGAAATGGAAGCCTTAAAATACAATAATAATTGAATTACGTTAATCCTTTCTTGAAAACGAGTATTCTATTCCTTTCAGCTCATATAGAATTTCCTCTGCATATTGAACAACTGCAATGTTTCCAGTATCACATGATATTTTCCAATTAATTTCTATCCTAGTCCATGCCCCGAATATTATGCATAATTATATTATTATCCAGCGGAAAATTGAATATTTAAACACTTGCAAATATTGAATATTTAAAGTTTGCATTAATCAATAATAAAATTAGAGAAAAATTGCTAAATCGCGGCCTGTGGAAAAATGTCCGGCTTTAGGGTCTATAATTTCAATGTGCGTGACTGCCATAATGCGGATGACGAGGGCCAGGCAGCCCACTAATGGGCTATTAAGCGTTTACGGATAATTGAGATGTGATGGTATGTGAGTGCGAGTGTGTGTGCGTGCGTACTTCCATAAAGAATCGAGCGCAGCTGGGCTTCAATACGGGAGGTTGATGCTCAATGCAAAAATATTAATCAATAGTTATGCATGATTAGGCATCGAATATTTATCCATATATGTACATTATTTTCATGGTAATTGATGTAATTAATGAAATGCGCACTTATCTTATTAGCCATATTAATTATATTTATCTACCAAGTTGAATCCAGTTAAAGCTCCACAATATCATCCTATGATTGTGTCTTCTCTTCAAGCAAATCCAATTTGAAAATACATTTGTACGCACTTTCTGTTTTTCTTTTCTTGCTACACTAGTAATTAGCTTTTCATGGCAAATTTATTGTTGAAAAGTTTTCGTGGCTTGGCTTAGGCAAATGCCAACTATCTAATGGCGTAGACATAAATCGCTACACGAGGGATAACTTATTGGACTCACGTGCTTAGATACTTATCTATGCGCTGCTCAAGCACCTACTTACTATCTCTTTCTCTCTCTCTCTCTCTCTCTCTCTCTCTCTCTATCTCTCATTTCGCGCAAAATCGCAAGCACAAAAACCACAGGCGACACTAAGCCTAAGTCGCATTTAAGTCCTTGGAGCCCATGAGCTGTGGCAGCTTCTCCGACCCGCCCGAAAAACTATTCGGCCGGCTCATGCTCTAGGCAAATACATATCAGCGGACTCTACCATACTCCCCCCTCTCTTTCTCTCTCTCTCTCTCTCTCTCTCTCTCTCTCTCTCTCTGTACACTTTTACCAATGGCATCGAGCACCTGCGTCTGGGCTTGTTGCCAGTCAACCAAAAAGCCATTCAAAAATCCCCAAAACAACTTGCAACAAACGAGCTGCGTTGCGGCCCGCAGACAACATGCTAATTAAAAGCTACTTTTGCCAGCCGCATTAATACACACACAATACACACACACACACTCACTGAGAGAGAGAGAGAGAGGGATAGACTGTAAGCACTGTCTGCAATGGCAGCGGATTAATGAACATTTACGAGGCGGGCCGCAACACGGGCCACAGGACGCCAAGTGGCGGCTTCAGGCTTCAAACCAATCGACTGTTGTTGTCCTCGTTGATGTTGCTGAATGACAACAATTTGCATTTGTTTCATTTGAAATGTGTATATAGACATAGCATATATCAGACAGGTTGGCGGTGGCACGCGCGGCACAGCGTAGCGGCCCGAACTGTCGCTGTCTGTCTCACTGTCTCTCTGTCTCTCTCTCTATCTCTCTATGTCTGTCTGTCTGCCTGTAAACCCTTAAAACCACACCGGCAAGGCACAGCGGGCGAGCTACGTCTACTAACTGCCTGAATGTTGCCAATGGGGGCTCACACAGCCTTGGGGCGTCATTAAAAATGTCTTGATAGGTTCTGCGGCTTTGATTAAAATGCGTTGTCGTTGCGATTGCCGGAGCTGCTGCTGCAACTGACGGACAGACATAACAGACAGGACACTGACAATAGCCTTTCTTTAAAGTCTGTGGAAAATCGCTCGAACTTAAATAACAATTGACTTGAATCCCAATTGATTTGCCATTCAGGCTAACAAGCAAAGCAGATCATTAAGTAGATGTAGTCGCTGGGCTGGGTCCATTTGGCATATGCTAATCTATACGTTTGTCTGTGCTTGCTAAAGAGCTGAAATTTAAATTAAAGTTACAAATATCAATGAACTATCAATTTATCGATAAATATCTATGATAATTTATTCAGCATAACTTGAAAAGTTTTAAGGACATGGGCAACTAGGAGCTTCTTATTGGGAATATAATTAGATGAAGCTAAAGTAAATAAACTTTATGACTTTTATCGATAAATATCGACTGCAATGCTTTTTAAGCGTAACTTGAAGAGGGTAAGGGATATGCATGTCTGGTTCTTATACTTATTAGGAAAATATAAAATAGACCTTCCCTCTGTCTCATTAAATTTGAGAAATAAATTCAAAGAGTAGAGATGCAGAAAAATAAGTATTGTGCTTATGTGTGATATGCAAGAGGCTTAACATGCTGTGAAGATAAGTTCAGCATATTTGCTCGACTAGAGCAGTTCTGACTCGAGCACTCCTATTTCACTTAAAGAGTGAATGTATGCCATATAAATACAGGGCTGGGCACTCGAACCGTAACCTAGGCAGTCAACAAAGCCATCCAACTTGTAATGTGGTTCACCTCAGTGTTCTGCTGCTTCTCAGAGTTCAAGCGTTTTGTTCAAATGAATGCAGAAGTCAGAGCTATGCTGCGCTGCACCTTCAGCAAATGTTTAATCCACTGAAACTTTTGCTTACCTGCCAATGGATGTTAATTCAAATTTGGCATTCAGTACAGCTGGAATGACTTTTATTGTCCTGATGCACACATATAT